TCCGAACCATTCAAACTGCTGCAAAGGCGCGACGATGTCCATTTTTTTGGGGTCCGTCATCCGGCTTCGCGTTTTTCGAACCCAGAAATCGTACAAGCATGCGTTGGCCTTCTCGTCAAGGACAATATCGCGATAGTTTGACTGCGTGAGGCCGAGGCCACCTCTGTTCCACAATCGCTCGAACAGGTCGTTTCGTTCGGTCTCGGTCGCGCGAAGTAGCGAGTCAGAATTCTGATTGTACGGGAGGGCCGAAGACGAGCCAAACTTAGCCTTTGCGAATATGGCATCGTAATAGTGTTTCATTTCCTCTGACTCTCGGTACGACAGCTGTCTCTGATGCATCGGGACCGCGATACAAGGGTTGCGGACAAAAACCGTCAGCTCGCAGTCGAGTGGTGCAAGCTCCTGCACGATTTGCAGACCGGACGCGCCCTGGCCGATGATGCCAATCTTCTTGCCCGCCAGCGAGAGATTGTCGGGCCAAGCGGACGGATGTATGATAAGGCCATCGAACAGGTCTTGGTTTGGGAAAAGTGGCATGTACGGCTTGTTCATCGAGCCGCATGCGAATATCGCATACTTGGACGTCGCACGTAGCCCCTTGGTCGTCCTGAAGTGCCAGCGTCCGGCCTCGGTGTCGTACTTCGCCTCGTCTACCTGAGAGTCGAAAATGGTGTCCTGACGCAGACTCAGTGTTGCATCGACGTGGCGAAAGTACCTACGGATTTCCTCGCAACCAGGAAACCGCTCGGTGAAGTGGAAATCAGCCCAGACTCTGGGCAAGCTGAACTGGTAGGCGGGCGTGTCGGAATCAACTCTGGCACCGGGATACCGATTGAAATGCCAGACGCCGCCAAAGTCGTCTCCGCGTTCAAGAATCTTGGCAGAGAACCCTGCCTCCCGGACTTTGAATAAAGCATAACAACCACTGAAACCTGCGCCAACGATGATGACGTCTGCTTCGAGCTTGTTTGCCTTCTGTTCTTCCATTGCAACAAGAGAATGTTGCATAGCCGATGATCTGATGTCTGTAGATCGTCGAGCGGTAATGAGGCCGTATGAGTGTAAAGATGTAGTCCAATACGGTGGCAGGATCCGGCATCGACCGCGTCATTTAAGCTTGTTGGTCTCGTACCTTCGCGTGATACTCGGCTCAGGAGTAGCCATCGTGTAGCATGCTACAACAAAAAGTCGTTTCGGGTTCTTCGTGCTGAGCATTCATGACAATACCATCACTGAGGCGATTCGTCAAGGAATGCCTTACCAGGTCTTGTAGGTGGTTGCGATGGCAGTTCCTGCGGCTGAGGTGCAATTCCCGTCCTATTGGTTGATTTGGTGTGTTCGTGCGTCTGAAGGGCTTATGTCATTTCTTGAGCAACCTTGCTCATGACGGGGTACATGGTCGGAAGGGTCTAAAATACGCCACGTTCAATACCTGCTCTCAAGCCACTTTGACAGGTCAATTTGTAGCCACGAGCCAGAGAGAGGAGGATCTGTTTCCCCGGGTAGTGGGGCAATCGCGCTCAGACCAATACAGCATGAGGCGGATCAATCTGGAGCCCATTTGGACTGGGAAGCGCTAATGGATATCGTTGAGAGCGGCTCTGTAACGTTCTAGAACTTGAAATGCCAAGTGGAGCTTCGGACCGTGTCTGCTTCCAGGCCGTCGATGTGGGCAAGAAAGTCAACGTATGAAGCGGCGCGTTGCCTTAGCCACAAGTCCGCTTGGCCTGTAACAACACATCACAACAAGGTACCCTCCACTGTCCAGATTATTCCCCGATCAGTCGCGCAGAATCGGTTCCACACACGTGCAACCACGCAGCGAGAACGATGCAACTTGATGTTTGGCCAGTATTTAACATGCATCCATTTCAGAAGAATTCTTGCACTGGCCAGCCATGACTAAAACCACTTGTTACGCCTCAAGACGGAGTAATACTGATCGAGGTTGGCTAGTACATACTCACGATTTCGTCACGACTATACAAGCCTACGATTCGAGGAGCCTATTACCTGAGGAAGCAAACTTGAAGTACAGAGGTTCACAAAACCGGTGTCCGCTTCGCAAGTTTAGTTTGTCTGTTGAGCACAGACCCTCCATGGATTACGCACATGGCAGAAGGCAAGGGTACCTTCACAGAACTGTTCATCGCAGCCCGGAGGCTTATTGACCAAATCGCTGACAGCTGGCTCTCAAAATAGAAAGTCAACAAGACGCGAGCAAAAACAGGCTGACTATATGCATTTATAGCCAACAGCGTCAGCAGCATTCGGCTTCCTCCCACTTGTGCATTTTTGGAGATATATTGCTTTATCAGAGCCGTCATTCCATTCGTAAGGCAAGCCATTCGTAAGGCAAGCGCTTTGATAAGCTGCTTATGGCACTGGTAATACTTCTACCACATGCCTCGCCTCGTACGGAGCAGCAATCTGCTCCGGTGCATGCTCGATGGCGCTATTACGCGTCGAACGCACCCACGTAGAGCGAGAATCTCATTTCGGGCTCCTCGAAAACCTATCGCCGCAGAGCGAGGCGTGCACACTTGCCATTCAAGTATTGAGCGAGCCCTCCATCTAACAATGGGCCCGTGCCTCAGTGCTCCTTGTTTTTGGTTCCAAACAAGAAAGATGCCCACGTCTAGTTGGAGACCGCGGGAGCATCATGTCCCTTGAGATCTCTAGCAAGATTTTAAGGCGAGATGGCGCACGACATTCGTACTCTAGCTTGACGTTCGAAAATTTGGAAACGTCATGGTATTGTTCGCCTTGTGTATAGGGATCGTTGAACATGGTCTGTTCTTGCGGAAGTCGATCGGCAATCGGAGGTCCGGACGGCCTACTGGCTTGTACCATCTTCTCGATGCGATGCTTGCGAAGTCAAGCGATGCTTTATACAGTCGACTTATCGTTTCTCGAATGATGACACCGACCAGAAGCGCCTTGATGATTCATCTACAATAATTAGCAAGGAGCTTTTCCTCCGATGGGCAGTTGTTCGCGGTCCTCACCTTCAGCTCCGGAGAAAGGCTGGCGGCCGGCGGCCAGCGGCAAGGACGCCGTAGCGCTGATCCGACTGGAAGACTTGTTTACAAAGAGAATGCACATGCATCGACGCCGCCAATGAGCGGATAGTTGACGATGCTTCGTGTTCTGTGGTCGCAATGGCGTCAATGTCCAGGCGTTGGGCAGCGAAATCGTGCGTGTCGAAATCAGGGTTTCCAAGGTGAGTACAGCCGAGCTTTAGCCGAAATGACCAAAACCTACGTGTCCCTTGCGGCCTTCCTTCTTGCACACCCATTCCCATCATCAACGGTGGCTCTGTCCACCTATTTCTATCATCAACGATGGCGCCGGTTCTCGCGCAATCGCAGCACGACTTGATCCGTGATATGCTAACAAGCGGCAGCTTCACTAACGCTGAGATCGCGACAGCTGCGAGATGTAGTGCCCGTGCTGTGCGACGTATCCGTAAGGCTAGACTGCTTCGGAGCGACGAGAGCCCTCCGAACGGCGCTGGCCGGCCCAGAGACATCACCCTTCCATGTTCAGTGCATTAAGCGAGCGACTGATAGAGAAACCGGACATGTACCTACAAGAGATGACAATATTTCTGTTCGACGAGTTCGATACAATGGTGACAACGTCTACCATCAGTAGGACTCTGAGGAGGGCTGGCTGGACGAAGTGGACGAAGAAAACGGCGCGACGCATCGCTCGAGAACGGAACGCAGACTTGCGTGACTACTACCTGCATAAGCTGTCGGCTTATCGGCCGTACCATCTAGTCTACGTTGACGAGTCGGGTTGTGACAGGCGTTGTGGTTTTCGACGTACGGGTTGGTCTCCTCGGGGGTCGACACCCACGCAGACTGCGAAGTTCCATCGTGGCCAGCGGTACCAAGTGCTTCCGGCGTATACCCAAAGATGGCGTTCTATATTCGCAGCTGTTTCAGGGTCACACCGATGGCGAGGCATTCGAGCACTTCATCGAGGCATTGCTTCCGCACTGCGGACGATTTCCTGAGCCCAAGTCGGTGCTCGTAATGGACAACGCCTCGATTCATCACACTGCGAAGATCCAACAGATGTGCGATGATGCTGGTGTGGTGTTGCTTTACTTGCCGCCATACTCACCCGACTTGAATCCCATCGAGGAGTTCTTTGCAGAGCTTAAAGGCTTTGTTAAGCGTCACTGGGCAGATTGTGAGAACTGTCCTGATTTCGCATGGTTCCTTGAATGGTGTGTGCGATCAGTAGGTGCTAGGAAGGCAAGCGCGGAAGGCCGTTTCCGACATGCCGGTTTGGAGATAGAGGAGCATCAATAGGAAATGGGTCCAGTTGAAGGCCGTGTCCAGCAGAAGATCAGGGTAATTTCGCACGCGTAGTCTATTGCTTTCTACTGCTGTTCTGATTCCTGACCCAGGGCCCACTCGCGAATGTCCCTGATGAAACGTGCTGCGGCGCCCTTCTTGACACCATTATCAATGAAAAATTGAGTGTCTTGGTCCTCGTCCACTTGTTCGAGGTCAAGACAATGTTCGACCATAACCTCGTACGCCTTCCGATACCCTGCCTTGAATGAATTATCCAACACCTGTGCGCACTGCCACTGGTAATAACTCAATGCAGAATCTCTGGGACCAGAGATCTTCAATCGTGTTGGCGTTTGGGGATGCCGATAGCGCCGGCCCGGGTCCGTTGTCCAGACAGCGAAACCCCTGCAGAAGCGTCCGATCCGGGCATGACATTGGTAATGTTAATGGGTGGATATTTCGCTTGACTCTGTGACCGTCCCTGACGGTCCAAACGCTGCTGGTCCTCCGCATACAACAGTTCACGGATGCTGCTGGGTATATCGCTGTGGCTCTCAAGCATTCCACCATCCTCAACGTAGGCAACCAAACTTGTCAGATGACGAGTCATCAGCTTGTGGTGCTTCCCCCCGTTATCATCAACCCAGCAATGCGGTCCAAGATTACAGGGCGGACCGGGACATCTCATGAGGCTGTACACTCGTTCCCAAGACGGCGCCTGTCCCGTCCTGTTGCGCTCGCCTTCGAGCTCTGCATCGCGCTCGGCAAGCATCCGTTGCGTTGCTGAGCGCTTCGTTCCCCGTCGTCCGGCACTGCCGGCCGCGGTCCAGTCTCCACGTAATTGAAGGAAACACTGATCTTCAGCTTTTTGCCAGCACGAAACAAGTGGCTCCACGTGCGCAGCTGCGTCTCGACGACCTCCCATTCTATCTCTAGATCATCGAATCGCTTGACTAGGTCTTCGGAGCGGTCTCGCACAGACACTATCACGGTGGTATCATCGGGCTTGAAGAGTTTGTTGGCCAGCTTCTTGGTCACAAGGTTGCTGAGCTTGCTCTGCAACGTCATGTCCCAGAAATCGCCCGGAGCAAGGACAAGATTCGGCTCGCTGTCTTTGGACACTGTTCTATTGTTCGCTGTCAATTTCCACTCAAGAGAGTAATGAATACAGGTTGGCGGCTGCTCATCGTAACTGCGGAATCTGTCCCAGTCAATCAGTCGAAGTAATGGGAGTCGGCCACCAGGAGGTTGCTGCGATGCCGCCCTAGAAGATACTGCAGGCGCTGAGCTGCTTCCATGGATCGACTCGTTGTCGGACCACGTATCCCAATCAAAATCAGATGGAGAGTCACTGAAAGCCATCGTCGCAAGTACAGTACAGTAGTTCGGACGAATGGTGGCGATGGCTCGATGCAGCCGCTGAGGTGTGGGAGAGGGTCAGGTAGGAAAAGATACGCTAGGCAGCTACGGGCGACACGTGGCCCCAAATTAGCATCCGCCCAAAGTAGCTAGTCTAGCCAGCTGCGGTCTGTTCCAAGTTTTCAATGCGGCATCCAGAGTTCCACTGCTTGTCTACAGTGCCCCGCATTTCGTCCACCATCGCGAGGTGTCGTGCACTATTTGAAGCTTAAGCAGTAGCCCATCGCCTATGATTCGGGTCGGCCCGTCGTCCCGCCACGGAACGTCTGAACGCTTCAGGTCTAAGAACCTTGTCCCTTGCCAGGATCTTGTTCGATGTCCCTTGATGCGTATTCTCTGTCAATGTCGACTGCCAATTCGTGAATGCAGATGATTACGATAGTCCTCTGTTAGTCCTCGTCTTTCACTACTTGGCGGTTTGTCATCGAGAAGGAAGGTATGGCTTGGGCAGCCTCAAGAGACCGTTGGAGTATCCTCAATTCCGACATACAAGGAGTTGCACCACTCGCGCGCTGCTCCTCACCAAGATCGATAGCATGCAAAGGCCTATCCCCGGTGTCAGAGGCGCATCTGACACCACGATTCGACTGGATCTTGTGCCGCCTGGATAACGAAACGAAAAGCGCCATTACTAAATATAAAACGAGGAAGAGGCTTGGCCGCTGATTGTATAATTAGCAACGCAGAGCGCGTGACCAGAGACCGACCGACCGGTGCAGACCAGGTCAAATGGCGCCATTGGAGCCACGTAGCAGCGCTTATCTTACCAGGCGACAGAGCAGGCAGATATGGCCCCACAAAGGATGCCATGATGCTGACGGACCCAGCGGGGTTGCGTTTCCAGTCCCTGGCTTGCTCTTCTGCGGAGTTTGTATGGACTGGAATTTGAACTCATCCCAAACATCAGCGATTGAAGGTAAACTGGAAACCTGACCGCACACGCCATCAAAGATCTATTCTCAAACTCCGATCAATTTTGACGGTAGCCATGGGATTGACCCGCTTGTTAAAGAAAATCAATTGTAGGAAAGATGGATCAGCGGTGGCCAGCTCGCAACCAGAAGCACCATGCGCCCCACAAGTTCGCCCGTTTGGACTAGAGGTCTTAGTCGAAGGAACCGATCCTGTCGTGGAGTAAGTGTCCGACTGCCAAAGTATCGCCCTTTCTGATTTTTGGTTAACCTATTTGCTTAGCATCGTTGCGGTCCACGGTCTAAACGGCCATCGAGAGCATACCTGGACTGCCAGTGGCGGCAAGCATTGGCTGCGAGACTTCCTTCCGACCGATTTACCCAATGCTCGGGTCCTTTGCTGGGGATATGATGCCAACACACTCAAACTCTGGTGTGAGCATCCAATACCTATACGATCACGCTCGGGAACTTGTCGCAGATCTGGCCAGGAAGCGGGGCTTAACCAAGGTGTGTAGCCACTTAGCCGTCGTTTCTAGCGAGAACACTGACAGCAATCAGTCGAGAGAACGGCCGATCATCTTTGTGGTGCATAGTCTTGGTGGCATCGTCGTCAAGAGTGTCAGTGCACAACTTGCTTGCTGTTGCCCACTGTTGCCCACCCTAACTTCGTGTAGGCCCTCATCCACTCCGACACCGCACGTGAAGGCGCATTGGCCGAACATCGATCTATCAAAACCTCCACACATGGAATCTTGTTCATGGGAACCCCTCATCAAGGAGGTAATGGAGTCCAACTGGGGCGCGTGCTCGTCAATGTCGCATCCATCTTCGTCTCAGCAAACGACCGCCTGCTCAGGCACCTCGAACGAGACTCGGAATGGCTACAACAACAACTAGGACAGTACGGGCCTATCAGCAGAGACTTTGTGACAAAGTTTGCTTACGAGGTGTTCGAAACGCCTACTCCCTTAGGACGAATTATGGTTCGTCTGTTATCAAACGTTCTATGCCATTTACTCATTAGTAACAGGTTGTACCGAGAGCATCGGCTGTTGTTCCCGGCCAAACAGATGGCGAACCAATCGCTATTCATGCTGATCATATCAACATGGTGAAGTTCGCTTTCAAGGAGGACTCAAACTACGTCAAAGTGTTGGAGGTACTTCAAATCATGGTGGCAGATGCTTGTAGCAACATCCAATCGAGGTGGGAGACGGAGGAGAGGGTCACGAGAGGTAGGAGCCATTGAGGTGTTTTTAGTCTGGTTCAGTAGCTAATGAACTGTTGCGATGCAGCACGGATCGGCCACAAAATACTGGAGAAAAAATGTACGTATCTTGTGTCTTAAACTCCCGTCCAGCTGGTCTGACACTTGATACGATTGTAGCTGGCCCATTTTACTCCATTCCGTTTCCAGACAACAAAGGCTTTGTTGGCGGAGGAAACGCCCAAGTCTCCACTCGATGTTGTTTCACGATCATTGTCAGAGCGTCGCTCTATGCGGCCTGGGTGGCATTGGAAAACTCGTTGCTTTAAAGCTCGCTTACTTGATCAAAGAAGGGAGACCCGAATACTCGATATTCTGGGTGCCAGCATCAAGCAAGGAAACTTTCAACGAGGCGTACCTTGCCGTCGCCAAAAAGCTTGGCGTTCATGCCACGGATAATGAAGACCTCAGACTAGCTCTGATGCATCATCTCCGCTCGTCTGCATCCGGCAAGTGGCTCCTCATTATCGATAACGCAGACGACGAAGACGTCTTGTATGGATCGCAAGACGGCTCTGATGGAGTTCTCGACTATTTGCCTCAGAGTGAAGCTGGTGTGACGTTATTCACAACCCGCTTCTCGCGTATAGCAACGTCTGTCGCTACGGAAAATGTCATCGACTTAGCAAATATGAGCTTTGATGAGGCGCACAGCTTTATGAGACATTCGTTGGTGAAAGGATTGTATGAGGAGGGAAATGTGCTCAATGAGCTTCTTGAAGACCTTACATATCTTCCCCTCGCCATTGCGCAATCTGCAGCGTACATGAACGAGAATAGGACATCGATGCGAGAATATCTTGACTTGCTTCGAAACACAGAGCAGGACATGATTGAACTGCTTAGCAGCAAGTTTCATGACAGAACGCGATACAGGAACAAGGATTCGCAGCACCCGGTGGCCACTACGTGGTTTCTGTCATTTAGCAAGATCCACAAAGACCACCCACAAGCTGCTAGCCTACTCATGTTCCTCTCGTGCATTGAACCAAAGGGTATTCCGCGATCAATCCTGCCAAAGCTGCCTTCAGAGCAACAACTAACTGCAGCTATCGGAACATTATGCGCCTACGCTTTTCTCACTCAACGAGGCAATGCAAAGGTCTACGACATGCACCGCTTGGTACACTTAGCGGCAAGTGTTTGGATCGACAACCAACCTAAGGAAAAGAACTTTGCAGTAGAAATTCGAGAGAATGCAGTGCGGCAGGTCACTGGAGTATTTCCCTCAGAAGTGTTCGAGAATCTCGTTTTGCAGAAAGAGTACATGCCACATGCTCTGCATTTGCTGAACGGCAAAGATTTGGACGCAGTTGGAATGTGGGAATTGAGCTGTCTGATTGCGCCAATTTTGACGATAGATGGGCGGTACAAAGAGGCCATAAAAGTCCTTGAGCAACTTGAGGCTCAACAAATGGCACTTGACGAAGAACACCCTGACCGACTTGCGCTAAAAGTTGCGCTAGCAATGGTTTATTTCGCAGATGGGCGAGTCAAGGATTCCATTGCGGCACTTGAGCCCGTTGTTGAGGTTTACGGGACGACGCTCGACGGAGGACACCCTGACCAACTTGCATCGCGACGAAGACTCGCAGAGGCATACCATGCAGACGGTAGGGTTAAAGATGCTATCGGACTACTTGAGTATATTGTAGAGGTTGAAGAGGCGACACTTGACAAAGATAACTCCGCCCCGACTTCGTCGCAATACTTACTCGCAATGGTATACGAAACAGACGGACGATTCAAGGATGCCATCAAGCTACTTGAGCATGTCGTGGAGATGCAGAGGACAACGCTCAACGAGGGACACCTTAATCGACTTACCGCACAGCACGGACTCGCCGTGGCGTATCAAGCAGATGGGAGAATCAAAGATGCCATTGAGCTACTCGAGCACATCATCGAGCTTCACAAGACAATGCTTGACGAAGGACATCCTAACCGACTTGCATCACAAGGCGCGTTAGCAAGTGCATATCGAGGAGACGGGCGAGTCAAAGATGCGATTGATTTACTAGAAAATGTTGTCGAGGTTCGCAAGACAACACTTGATGAAGGGCACCCAGGCGACTTGCAACAGAAGGCGAACTTGCAGATGAAGGGCACCCTAGGCGACTTGCAACAGAAGGCGAACTTGCAGAGGTTTATCGAGTAGATGGGCGTGTCAATGAGGCCATTGAGCTGCTCGAGCACGTTGTTAAGGTTCGCAAGACAACCCTTGATGAAGGACACCCTGACCGGCTGGCGTCGCAAGGCGCGCTCGCAGATGCATACCTAGCAGATGGACGGGTAAAAGATGCAATTGAGTTGCTCGAGTATGTGGTTGAGATGCACAGGAAAACACTTGACGAAGGACATTATCACCGACTTACGTCACAACATTCGCTCGCTATGGCGTATCAAGCAGACGGGCGAGTGAAAGATGCCACAAGCTGCTCGAGCACGTCGTCGAGATTGAGGAGACGACGCTTGACAAAGGACACCATAACCGGCTGGCGTCGCAAGGCGCGCTCGCAGATGCATACTAGCAGATGGACGGGTAAAAGATGCAATTGAGTTGCTCGAGTATGTGGTTGAGATGCACAGGAAAACACTTGACGAAGGGCATTATTACCGACTTACGTCACAACATTCGCTCGCTATGGCGTATCAAGCAGACGGGCGAGTGAAAGATGCCACCAAGTTGCTCGAGCACGTCGTCGAGATTGAGGAGACGACGCTTGACAAAGGACATCCTGCCCGACTTGCGTCACAATGCGCATCGGCAAAGGCGAATGAGGCAGGCAAGGAGTGCAGAAGATCATGAGTAAGAGCATTTGACGAGGTTGACGACATAAACCAAATTGAAACCAAATTGGCTGAGTAGCATTAAGCACAACGTCGCAACCCAGCATCGTCGCGCACGTCTCGTAGCTTTTCGATCTGGTGCATTCCGGCATTGTCCGATACAAGCACGGGTTCCGCTCGGTCACCCCGACGTAGATGTGCGCTCGACGCGGAATTGTGCCTTCGGGGACGCACCGAGGCGAGATGCTGCTCCAAATGAGGCATATGGTGGAAGTATCGCCGGTGCCATAACCTGCTTATCAAAGTGGCTTGCCTCGTGAATGGAATGACGGCTCTGATAAAGCAATATGGTGTTACGCGGTGCATAAGTGAGAGGAAGCTTATTATTGCTGACACTGTAAGCTGTCAACGCACACCATCAGCTTATTTTGGCTCGCGTCATGTTGGCTTTATGTTATGAAAGCCACCTGTCAGTAATATGGTCCATAAGCCATTCCGTGCTCCCAGGAGCAAATGCAGTGTGGTGGCTGACAAGGTACCCCTGCCTCCGGTCATGTACCTAATCCATGGAAGGTCTGTGCTCAACAGACAAACTATACTTGCGAAGCGGACACCGGTTTTGCGATCCTCTGTAAGTCAAACCCCCCACTTCCCGGCACCCCCCTGTTTCTGGCACCCACAAAAACGCGAAAATCCACCACAACGCAATGCCCACCCCCAACCTCCTTTTATCACAACATTTTCAATTCGAGTCCAAATGGGCTCATTTTTTGCACATACCTTCTTCTATATCTAATGCCTCAATATACCGAAGATCAGCTTCGTCAGGCTCTCGAGGACATCTCAAACGGCAAGAGTCAAAGAGAGCCTCATTGGAGTATGGGATACCACGATCAACCCTCCAACTACGTCTCCAAGGTGGTCAGACTAGGAAAGTGGCTTTTGCTGACTGGCAGAGGCTGTCTCCTGACCAGGAGAGTAAGCTGGCACAATGGGTTCGCATTCAGGCTTCGCTGGGCCTCGCAACGCACCAACAGGTGAAGGAATTCGCAGAGCGAGTTCTGGCTGCTGCTGGGGATACCAAACCATTAGGAAAAGGCTGGATCTATGCCTTCGTGAGAAGGAACCCTATCATTAAGGTTCAGAGAAGTCGTTCCATCGATTCTAGACGCGTTAATGGGGCATCTACTGAGGTCATTAGGAACTGGTTTAAGTTCCTTGCTATCCCTGAGATCAAGGACATCAAACCAGCCAACAGATATAATATGGATGAGACTGGCATCCTCGAGGGTCAGGGCTAATGGGTTAGTGCTGGGCATGGCTGAGACGACGTCTGTTCGCAAGAAACAACCTGGGTCGAGGGCATGGGTCTCTATCATTGAGTGTATCTCAGCCTTGGGTAGGGCACTTCGTCCTCTTATCATTTTCAAGGAAGACGGTCCAACAACAGTGGTTTCCATTACATCTGGTTCCATACGATGGGTGGGAGTTTACAGCAACAGATAATGGCTGGACTACAGACTTAACTGCCATTGAATGGTTAGAGAAGGTGTTTATCCCACACACAGACTATGCCCGAGGCTGAGGGCGAGGCTCGACTGTTGATTGTGGATGGGCATGGGAGTCATACGACGACAGACTTCATGTGGAATTGCTATATTAACAATATCCATTTACTGTTCTTACCACCTCCTCTCATGTCCTCCAGCCACTTGACCAGTCTGTCTTCAGCCCTGTTAAGTCAGCCTATCGGAAGGAGCTCGGTTACTTGTCTCAATGGAACGACTCTACCATTATAGGTAAAAGGAACTTCCTGGACTGTTACCAGAAGGCTCGACTTGCTGGTCTATCAGTCTCGAACATCAGAAGTGGTTGGAAGTGGACTGGTCTACACCCTGTAGCGATGGTTAAGCCCTGATGAACCCTATGGTATTACCTGAGCCTTCTGCTAAGCCCACCACACCCAAACCAACCAGTCGGGGCAAAAGCGATGCCATAATGGTCAACAAACTACCCCTGTTGAGCCATGGGATTCTGCTTCCTCTGCAGTGGTCTGGTCGACACCCAGGAAGCTGGCAGAGCTCAGCGGTCAACTGCACTTATACACAACTCGACAATGATACCAGCACTCAACGGCTGCTGTTCAGGAAGGTGAAAAAGGCTTCACAGAGCAGGCCTGGCAACTGGCTGCCCAGCAGCAGCTGGCTCACCTGAGGGCTCAAGTTACCAACGCTGCAGTTAGGAAGAGGAAGACTGTTCAGATCGATCCCAACACGAAGTTTGCGAACATCAGGGATATCCATCGGGCTCAAATCGAAGCGGGTGAAAAGGAGGTTATTACGGCTGAATCCAGCGACTCTGAATGCCCTAGTGAGGCTGGCAGTTGTATTGTAGTGGGTGTGGTTGAGGATCAATAGTTAATAGTAATGAGGAGGTTGGGTTGTGATCCCATCGTTTTTGTGGGTGCCAGAAACAGGGGGGTGCCAGGAAGTGGGGGGTTTGACTTACATGGAGGACTCTTTGCCAAAGACCGAGTTTCGTAGCATTTGAACGCCTTTTTGGGTCGGTGGCGGGGGCTTAACGAGCTGAGACGGACGCACACGAACAGCAAAAGAATCTGAGACTTCCTGCTCCCAAAGCGAGAAGAGAAATCTGTCGGATATGGGCCGTTCACGGTACGCTTCTGATCCAGCCCCTTTCACATACCTGAAGTCTGACTTCTTGCCAGCAACAACAGGCAGAAGGGCAATTCCGGCGTTTCCGTTCAGCACGAGCCGATCACGCCTGGGGCCACATTCAGCTGGGTGACGCATGGCAGACTCATCACGGAGCTCGTCAATGGTAGAATGGTGTGCTATTTTGCGGCGGAGGATGGTCGTGTGGTGGGTGTCTATCTTGGCGTTTGGATTTGCCCACCTGTTTTCCAGTGGTCGCCAAATTGAAGGTCTGCATGTGCTTACTTAGCTTACATCACAAAAAGAGTTCTTCGTTATGTATCAAGCGGCCCGGAGCCGCATTGCAACATTCTCGGTATCTCGTATTTCACGTCAATGGCCGACGAAAGCATGGCTGCGAATATGCTAAGAATGTGCAGAAGTCCGTATAGCCTCTCTTTGGGCGTTATCAAAATAGACTCATTCTTTCAAGGCGCACATTTCTTAATTGCATGTCGCCGTCTCCCTTCTAGGTTCCAGACCATCCGTGCTATAGTGGCCTCAGCCCTCAGAGACTGATGATGATTGTGAGAAATCATGACTTTTGACATCATGGCTGAGCTGCTTCGCGATGATTTGTTTGCTTCGTCCGCACTGTACGAACTGTGACACCTGAAGCCCGGCTCGGACCTGGTTTAATCTCCAAGTCTCTGAGACTAATCATCTGGCTTGACAACAATATTGTGTTGACAGGGTAAAACATGCTCTCTGGGCGAAACGGTGAAGGACGGTTTTCTATGACATTGCTGTTCCGAAGTTCGTTCGCGTCTTCGAGCCTTAGTTGAGGTATAGTGGGTTCGGGAGACCTCTGTGGATGTGCTGGTGACGTAGACTTCGAGAATACACTTATGGGAGAAAGCAAAACGTTCGCATAGGCACAAGCATCGGTAAGTGCTTGTTCGTCCTGCACTAGAAGGGGATCTGGCGGAGATGGTGTTGTCATTTTTCGAAGTTGCGAGATGGAGAAACCGAAGATCGTCTAGGCCTCATGGCGCCGGAACTATTTATGTTGAAAAGGCCAGTCACAACAGCCGTATTCGACTGCAGTCTCATCAGCTTTAACTATTGAGGTAGATAGGCCCTCGTAGTAAGCCAATGCTAGGTCGACAGCCAGTTTCGGCGTCAGGTCACGAATGCTGTATATAACAGGATGGTCCATGAGTCCCTTTGCAGCCTTGCGTATACGTCGCACCAAGTCACACACTGAACGTCACCATGGAGATCTGGGCGTTTGCCAATCTGTACACTACTCCCCCTACAGTCGGTACCGTTCAGTCGCCCTCAAGCACGGTGACCGAGCTTCCTCAAATATGCACTTGTGCCATGGAAGGGGACGTGTCAACCTCGACTGCAACTCATACTACGGCACTTCCCAACAGGCTGGAATCCTCCCATAGATTGTGGAACACTACTATGGACCATAATACATCGAGCATCAGCACCGCGATCAGTCTCGTTACAGCGACGTCTGGTGGTTACGTTCAACCGTCATGGACCTACCATTGGCCGACGGTGCACACGACCGCGGCGACCCCCGTCAGCGCAGCCGGTTCACATGGCGCCGGCTGTGACCATCTTGTAGCCTTTTACGTCATTTTTCTCGGTGTATACGTATGGGACCGGCTTTGTTAGACCCACTTGCTGCTTTCTAGCAACCACGATTAACAGACACTCACGCAGGAGGGGGAAGTGATGGATGGGATGTAGGGTGGGCGCGTGGGGTTCTGTATCCATCGTGCGATATCAGGTGGAGTGAAGGTTGTACGTTTTCTTTTACTTTTTAATCTGGATTGCCACCCAGATCGACTTCTCTACTGCTCAGAAGGATGTTGCCGGCGACACCACGAATGTCTTGATTAGGTGTCTTCATTCCCCTTTTCCCGAACCTGGAAACGCCATGCCTTCCTCTCTAAAACTTCCTCACATCTGAGGGATCAGTGCTCAAGGGCAAGCCCGAGGGGGATACAGGGCCTCGAAGCGCACCGAGCCAAAGAGACAATCACTTATAGGATGGCGCGCAGAGAAGTCAGACATCAAGCAGTATTTAAGAAGTCTCTTGCTTATTTATTTACACGTAAGTGAAAAAAGTAATAACACCCTCTTCATTGCCTCCCAGCAGAACCTGTTGCACACACTCCAAACCCAAGCTTCTTCTCTGTTGCGGCTAGAATCACCACCGTATGGTCCAAGCCTATCGCTTACGATGCCGTAACTGCTCTCGTGTATACAGAAATGAGCTTGTACTGTGACGCGCGCTGTTAGACAGTGTAAAGATAAGACTCTCATTCAAACGTACCTCGTCGTTTTCTACCTCGGCTTTGGACGGGGAGGTGGTTTCGGAACGCCTGTGGTATCGTACGCTCCGCGGCTTTGATCTGCGTTCGTCTCGAGAGTGTCGGCGATAGCCATTTCTTTATTGCCGCGATGCTTCGTTTTGCTGTGTAGGTGTTGACGATTGTACCTCAAGATCTTTTGTCGACAGTTTCGTGGTCTTTATATGTGTTCGCCTCGACCACTTACCCCTATTTGGTGCCAACGTTGAAATATTCAACGACCCCTTGCGAACTCGGTTGACCCGTTATGACACGATTCAATAACGCTGATATCCGCCAATCCATGCGTGATCCTGGTCAACCTATTGTTAAATTACCATTGCCCCTGAGGGTCATCGTTGGGCTAGTCTCTTTGAAGGACCAAGTTGTTCTAAGACGGGCAACCTTGCTCTGCGCTTGGGTTCGTGATCATGATGGACACGTCTATTACAACGCAGGCATGTCGTAATCGGGTGGGCATGGGAGACATAGAGTATGAAAGCCAGCCCGCAGAGCTGATGCTTGGTATTGTGAGGAAAGGGAGGCAGCTTTACTGTATCGAGTACTTCCGGTGTACACCTTGTGCAATAACGAGCTCATGCAATGAGATGCTACTGAATGGAATCGGTCCAAGCCGAGCGACTTTGTAGACCGCTTCTTATCTCAGGTATCGTGAACTTAATTGTCTCCTTATGTTGTTCTTGACTATCTCGCGGAATGAGCGAAGCCACCCAGTCTGCTAGCGCTGATATCATGACAACCTCATTTATCTAATGCACTAATCTTAGCTCTTGCGAACTCTTGTCTCGGAGATGATATGGCGAGCGTTGAGTGAGTCGAGGTTCCTCCTTCCTTTGGCCGGCTGATGCGTAGCTCGATTTCACATCCTGAGAGTTTGACGCGCTGTCTTTCGCCCTGACCTGAGAGCCTTCTTCATCAGATTTGGCAGCATTGAGCCGGACAGTACAAGGCCGCAGTGATTGTGCTTTGTGTCAATGTATTGTATTGATTAGGTGACATGATCACTTGATGTTGCGATGGCTATTGGTACTCGAGGCCCGATCCATGATGGAACCGATTACGATCTAATCTCACCATTTGTATGGGCTCATCCGAAGTCTAACCTATGCACGTCGTAGGTGTTTTGGGTTGGTATGAAAAGATATGTTTTACAGGCGCCGATGGAATTGTTCTCTGGTCGGACCATTTTGCATTCTTGTTTGGTCGCAAACTCGGCAGCCTTTGGTTGTTCTGAGTGATGTGGCTAACAAATCTTAGTGAACGGTGCTTGCTGCACTCGCCTCGAGCTGCACCCGCCTCTTCCTTCCCGAATCAAGTAGATATTTCTGGGTTGTCTTGGTCGCAGGATTGATCATGCCAAGAGCTGTTGGCTGATCTTTGGTCCCGTATGTAAAGTCAGCTACATTACATGGAAGGGTGTTTTTCATCTTCTTTCTTGCCGTCTTACTGTCCGCGAGGTTCGCCAGTGAATGGGGCATGCTAGCTTCTAGAAGTGTAGGGTCAGATAACCATCTCGTATGTACAGCTATGTGCACTTTGCATGTCCTCCTTACACTCATTGCAGTCTGGGTGCACAGGCCACGGGTACTTGAGAAAACTTTGATGTACAAGCGTAAGCCAAAAATATTCGCAGCTTCGCGCAAGTTCTGGACCGTAATGCAGTAACGATACGTCGACATAAGTCTTGAAAAGTAGTGTGCCTAGTGGAGACTTAATGGGGCATCTTTACAGTGCGGCCGACGAAAAGGTACACTTCTGCTTACCTTCAGACAGGCATCCGGTACTAATCGGCTGTCCAACTATCTTTCATACTGAATTGGTTCTCCGTCCGACCAATGTTCAAGCAATCTAGATTCCACTTTTGGGCTCTATATCTACACTCAAGCCCGTACCCACCGCCATAAATTCCAACCGCATTCTCTGTGAGTAAACGTTTGGGAAGAACCATTTTGCTACAATAGCACCTGCGCCGCCGTATAGCCATGAAGTGAAGCATGCCAGAGAAATAAAGCCGATCCTTTTCACAAAAAGGTTATCAAAGGATTTGAAGTAGCGTTTGCCCGACCATAGGTGCTCTGTTACTTGTAGGTAAAGGTGGCTACATTGGACCGCCGAAGTGCTTTAAAAAAAAGTTTAAGCTCTTATCAAAGACATCAAGAATCAGTAAATGGTGTGGATCATTTCACACGAAACACCATTCCCACGCCGCGTCGAATGAGAAAATGGTGACAAAGGCGGTGCCTTCAGTGCTATACAGTCAGTTTAAAGCCGCTGCCGAATTAGCCTCGCAGTACATCTACAGTAACCATCCTCCAGAACAATGGTGACTCCCTTGGGATATATTCTTTGAAAGTACTTGTCTTATATACTTGCCCCTTTGTCGAGGAGAAGCTGTACGATTTCTTGATAGCCTTGAGAACAGGCAGCCTGGAGAGCGTTGCCGTAGTAGCCGCCCTGCGCGTTGACGTCTGCGCCTTTGTTGAGGAGAAGCTGTACGATCTCTCGATAGCCTCCAGAAGAGGTAGCCTGGAGAGCGTTGCCATGTTCGCCACCCTGTGCGTTGACGTCGGCGCCTTTTTCAAGGAGAAGCTGTACGACCTCTTGATCGCCTCCAGAAGAGGCAGCGTAGAGGGTGTTGCCGTAGTAGTTGCCCTGCGCGTTGACGTCTGCGCCTTTGTCAAGGAGAAGCTGTACGATCTCTCGATAGCCTCCAGAAGAGGCAGCCTGGAGAGCGTTGCTGTAGAAGTCGCCACCCCGTGCGTTGACGTCGGCGCCTTTGTCGACGAGAAGCTGTACGATCTCCTGATGGCCTTCTTCAGAGGCAGCCTGAAGAGCGCTGCCGTACTTATAGTCCTTTGCGTTTGCGTTAACGTTCGCGCCTTTGTCGAGGAGAAGATGTCCGATCTCTTGATGGCCTCCTGATGAGGCAACCTGGAGAGCGCTGCCGTACCTGCCGCTCTGGGCATTGACGTCGGCGCCTTTGTCGAGGAGAAGCCGTACAATCTCCTGATGGCCTCCTGATGAGGCGGCCTGGAGAGCAAGAGGGTTATAAAACTCTCCGCCCTGCGTATTGACGTCTGCGCCTCTATCAAGTAGAAGCTTTACGGTCTCTTGATGACCATTATAAGAGGCAGCCTGAAGAGCGTTGGTGTACCCGCCCTGCACGTGTAGGTAGTCGATGACCTGTGCGTTGACGTCGGCGCCTTTGTCGACGAGAAGCTGTACTACCACTTGATTGCCTCTAAAAGAGGCAGCGTAGAGGGCGTTGCCGTAGTAGCCGCCCTGTGCGTTGACGTCTGCGCCTTTGTTGAGAAGGAGCTGTACGATCTCTTGACGACCGTTATAAGAGGCAGCCTGGAGAGCGTTGCCGTAGTAGCCGCTCTGGGCATTAACGCGTGCGCCTTTGTCGAGGAGAAGCCGTACGATCTCTTGATGGCCTTCTTTACAGGCAGCCTGGAGAGCGTTACCGTACTCGCCAGCCTGTGCGTTGATATCTGCTCCTTTGTCAATGAGGAATCTAGATACCCTTGATAGTCCACCGAGACAAGTATAATACAGGCATCCTGCTTCAGGGAAGATAAGCTCATCATTCCGAGGTCTACCGGGCTGATAGAGATAGCGCCATCTTATAAAAGCGGTCTCTTCTTGGAAGAAGGTTGCTGTGTCGTCAAAAGCCTCATGAGACGATTCTGCCAATTGGGCATGTCCCAGTGCAACCTCCGCAGCATACCGTGCCAGAGGGCAAGTGGTTCTCATGATCTCGAATCTACAATCAATGCTTCTGATGTAAGTGAAGCAAGTCCTCGCGATTGCGCTGCTAGCCATTTCAAGGTTGAACTGGTTTCGTTCCACCAGGTATTCCTTGACTAAAAAGTGGGCAAGCTGTACTTCTCTTACTATTCCCTTGTGTCGCTCGACCTTAGCGATTGTTACCAAACTGGGACAGTAACACAGTATGTCGTCGTCGCGAAGTAGTCTGCGTTCGACATTAAACCCTCGTTGGCCTTTCTCTATCAGCGTGGCAATCACGTCCACAGCTTCCGATACTGTCAATGGTCGTTTGGCGTGGACTAGAAACTGTAGCAGACGGAATGCATCGTCTTTGAGTTCTGGCGGTATGCTCCGAAGCATGCGCTGGTACGTTTCGTTGAGATCCCCGGGCAAATTGCGTAAAGCTTCTCTGATGGCTTGAGGGTGGAGGCATTTGGCAAGGCTGTCCAACTGACAAGCCGCCCATCGAAACCTGAGCTTGTCAGTGTTTGGCGGCCCATTATAGCATACTTATACACCTACATCCCATCCGCTCCGTCTCCGACCTGGCTGCGTATTTGATTTAAGAGATCGTGAGGTATTTTCTTGTCCTTGAAGTCAGGCCGCTGATGGAGCTCGTAGTCGACAAAGGAGCTTATGTCCGCGTTGACAGCCTCTTTGCTCAGCAGCTTGCAGTTATTCTCGCCGAAAAGCCGAGGAATCTCGTGTTGAAATTCTGCTTCGGGCCGCCCAGTCACGATAAGCTTGATGCGCTTCGCGTTCGGGCTGCTGGAAAGTCGCCCAATCCAGGAAAGGAGCTTATCTCTCGTTGTAGATTCATCCAGAGCGTCTAGGACGACGGCGCTGTCTGAAGAGCTCTGTAACATCGAGTCAACACAGGCCGAAAGAGCGCTGACGCCTGGCTGTCGGCGGCCGTCGTCGCTCGAAGTAAAAAGTCTGTCAAGCGCTTTTGCAGCCTCTATCCCGGTATGGTGAAGTTGAATCGCCAACGAGCGCAACAAGTCCTCCAGAGTTTGCTTCCTGGTATCGCTGAAATCGAAGAAGAACCTCAATGTGAGGTGCGCGCCCATTTCCTCGAGATGGTCGAGAATTGTAGTGCTCAAGACTGTCTTGCCACATCCCGCAAGACCATAGAGCCATAAATGTTGGCGTTTCCCAGCCACCCACTCACGGAATGCGGTACTTTCCAGCAACCAACACCCAGTGCCAGCATGTCGGCGTTCTCTCGCTATTGTGACGTTGGTCGACGGGTCTGCAGGTGATAGCCAGCGATGAAGTTTTCGAACATGCTGATCGTCTCTGAAGGCTGTCACAGCCGTATGTGTTCCAGTCACAACGTCGTGCACAGAGCTGAGATCTTTTTGAACTACATGGAGTTAGACAATGCTCTCCGGCCTCGGATCGCCATACTAACTTTGACTCATTGTCTCCCCGATTGGTGTCTCGGCCTCGACCTTATTCAGCGGAATCTGACGCAAAAGGTCCGTCGCGTAAGCAGCCGCCGTCATCGCTGCGAACCCTTGCCATTCTTTGTTCTTGTGTGAGTCGGAGTAGTCGCAGATCCCACGGACCACCAGGCACGGGAAATGGTTCATCAGACCAGCCGCTTCCATCTCAAAACATAGAACGCCCTTCTCTTTTGCCATGGTATCCCTGATTTTGGCATTTTTCATCAGCTGATTCGAACTAGCAATCAATCCATGGTGGATGGCGGGATTATCGTCAAGGTCCTTTCGGTCAGTCCGATGCACGAGGTGAGATGGGCTGTCGCCGCATGCGCTATCGCATTTGTCCGCTCCATCCGGATGAAGGACATCGGATTCATAGAGCCTGTCGCTATTCGAAGGGGGCCGCGCGTATGTCTTTCGCAGGCGAGGCCACCTTGCTAATGCTTTTTCGATGTGCTCATTGAGCTGGTGCCCCTCCATTTCGTATTGGCCCTTCAGAGCACTTACAGCTGCTCGCAGGGCCATTGGGGGTTGATCTAAGAAATCCGTGTGCTCAAAGGAGATATTCTGGTTTTGAACCAGTTTGCCATAATCGTACTGAAACACGCCGCCCTTGCCTCTGTCACGGCTGCTAACAACAACATCGCCAAGCCGCACGTCCTGTTCTGGGCTTGGCGCGCCGCCGCCGATGCCAACCATGAGCCCAATGCGAACATTAGGGAAGCTGTGCAGCATGCCTCGGGCCACTACGGCAGCCGAAGTTGTACCATACTCCCCGTCAGGCAAGACGGCGACCACAACGTTATGATGGCTAATCCTGCCCAGCGCATAGCTGTTGTTGTCGTGATGTGCGACAGGAGGGCAGTCTTGGTGCTTCTCGTCGAAGAAAGCTTTCGCCGCGTTGAACTCGGTAGGTAGGGCGCATATCCAGCCGATCGTGTATTTTGCAAAGTCTCCCATGGACGGCGTTCTAACTATCGATGGTAAGCAAATAGAGCGGCTATGGAAGGGGGTGAGAGCGCGAACAGCCTGAGCCGCATGGGAAACGTCAAGATACGGTTGACAAGCAAGAATGGTGATGGTACTGCCGCAAGATACCGAGCAAGTTGGAAGTGTGGAAAGCGGGGTTAGCTGCCCTTTTATCCGTAATCTGCGTGGGATCAGGCCCTTATTGTGAGGCACAGGCCGTTGTCGCCGTCATGTGGTTTGGTGCAGCAGGCTGAGCATCTTGCAAATCTGATTCGCGATGTACTGTAGGTTTGCTGCATCACAGCCACACTTGGTGGGATGGGGATGATTGGTGAAGTATCCAGTAGTTTGATGAAGCAGACGAGTGGTATCATCATGTGGAAAGGTTTTTCTTGAATTAACTAGGAATGGTGATTGTATGCAAAAACGATGAAATGCATCAGTTGACTGCGAATAAGGCTTGACAAGAGCGTTCGCACCGAGTGACCCACCCTACACGTTCAGCTTCAGGATGTAGGCTCACTTCGGATGGTTTTGTGCCTTGCGGGATGGATTGTGAACTCGTCTAGAATGTTCTATCCTTGCCATGGGCCCCACCCGAAAGCTGGCCAGAACTAATGCAACACTGCCACCCTCACTTAAAGTGGCTATGGCCCGCCATCGGGCGCTTACCACGTTTCATTTCCTGTGCATTGCCCCCGAGCCAATGACTGCGACCATGACGGGAGATGACTGGTTGTATGAGATCAGCAGCGATGACGAAAATGATCATCGGGAAGGCTCAGACATCTCCGACTCTGACGGGGAATTGGATCACGGCACTTCCCCGCACAGTCAGCTTCCACCCGTCCCTGGGGCGTTGCCATTCCTGGACTACCACAGATGGGCCTCAGACCAGTCATACGATGAACAGCCCCCGCGTTGGTTGCTTTATACAATGCAATGGAAATTGACCCTGAACAGTAGAAAGGCGGTGGAACAAACCGAACAGAACCTTGCTATAGCCCCGAGCGACTTTTGGAAAGAGGTGCTCTCGTCTAAGGTCGACGGGATTGTTGCTTCGAAGAAGAAAACCTACGAGACCAGCGCGACGACAATTGTCATGTCGGTTCCCAACGATCGATCCGAAGACAAGATCACAAAGCATTTCCAAGGGCAACAAATTGATTGGCCGGTTGTGGAGAGGCAACTACAAGGATGGAGCCAGCTTCTCCGCGCTGGCAAGCGGTTGAAGGTTTATGTGCAACTAGACTACGTGGAGAGTCTCTCCACGGGCCGGCCCGCTGGACGAGGCGCTACCGCGATTGGCCTCACGGAGCGGAGTGCACGGATGGATGCCGAGCAACAGGCTACCGGTCTTGTCCGGTGGGTACAGCAAGGCCATAACCTGGATACCCATGACGATGTCCCGGAGGAGATCCGGGCGCAACTATATGCCCAGGAACAACAGGGTCGCAAGCGCAAGCGGCAGGACTCGGGATCGGACTCTGCTGGCCATGTCCCCGTGATCATCCATAACCATATTCCAGACTATGTGGCAGCGTCGGACAGAATGTCACCGGATCTCGGCAGCCCAGTCGGCCCGCCTGCCCGTCCACTTCCCCTCTGCGTGGATGGGCTGAGGGACGACGCTGTAGAGGCATACTGCAAATGGCATTGCTCCAAAGTAAGAAGCCTTAACCAGAAACGATACTTCCAGCTTGCATACAACCTGACGATCGAGAGAGGGCTGGATCTCGAGCTTGTTCATGAGGACAACGATGCTCAGTTTTTCATTGAGCAGGGCGTGCTGGAAGGTGTGGCTCGCCGATGGGTGCGGGATATTGAGGTCTATCTTGATCAGGAACACGGCATCGTAGTTGCGTGATATTACAATTTGTTTGGTTGCTTTAGTCTAGCGGCTCGTCAATGGAGATCGAACAGTTATGGAAATGGCCTCTAGCACTCTTCTTCCGCTGGCCGACGATCGTCACACATTCCTCCAGAAACGATTGGAAATCAGCCCGAATGAATCCTTGATGTTCGTTCCAGACCTGTCGGATGAAGTTCTTCAACTCGCCGAAGTAGTGCTCAATGGGAATGATGTCTGGCGAATAGGGTGCTGAGTAAAGCAGCACCACTCCCGCTGCCGTGCACATCTCCCGTATGCGGTCCGAGTGATGGAAGGGGGCATTGTCCATAATCAAAACAGACCGCGGCTCGGGCCAGCGACCACAGTGTAGTAAGAGTATCTCGATAAAACTCTCGAAGACTTTCGCATCCGTCGATCCCTCATACACCCGGAAGTGTATCACCCCATCTTGAGTATACGCCGGTAGGATCTGGTACCTCCGACCGCGGTGAAATCGCTTGATTTGACGTGGTCGCTTCCCTCGAGGAGCCCAGCCTCGACGGCGTATACCGATGCTCTTGTCTATGCCAGATTCGTCCACAAACACCAACTGGTCGGATCGGTACTGCGAGATCTGGTGCATGTATTCGTCTCGCAGGTCTAGGTTACGCTCTTGGGCGACATTCTGTGTGGCTTTCTGGGACCATTTATCCCTCCTCAAGGCCCTGCTAATGCTGAAGCGCGACACGTCGGCTTCGTAGTATTTTCGAAGAAAGGCAGCCATCTGATTCAGGGTCAGACATGGGTCAACAGCGAGGTTGCCATGCAAGGCGCTCAACATAGGAGGCGTGATCGACTCGGGGCGGCCGGGAGTATTTGTCGAGGTCTCTGTGGTTCCAAAGGTGCGCAGTTTCGAGCGAATTCGGCGTACCGTCCGTGGATGACATCCCACTAAATCGGCTATGCTGTCATCAGTGGCGGTCGTCTCACCTAGCAATTTACTGTAGACAACGTTTCGAAGAAGATCACGCGAAGAACGAGCAAGATAAGGCGCCATGATGGCAAAGCCCGTTGCTGAGCCTGCTGACCTTTCTGGATTTGTTGGCGGCAAGTTGAAAGATCATTTTGGTCAAATTTGGTAGTCATGACTCAACGGAGAGGCCACGGTGTTCATCCGTTCCTGGCGTAAGCCATTTCTGGAGTAATCAATTGAGATCCCTTGCCAGTACTATGTGCGAGACCGTCAGAATTCGCACTAACAAAAGGCGTCCGTGCGCTCAGAGAATTAAAAGAGTTTAATCCAACAGGACGTGCTTTTTGCACATAGCTGTATGTATGCTAGTTATGAAGGTGAAGTGCTGATGCCAGGGGCAAATCAGTAATGAGACGCTGTGCAGAGATTCCATATTATGCCACGTCGCTTCTAGGCCACTATGCAAACATCCATATGCATCTGAAATCAATCGGCCATCAAGTTTGAACACCCGAAAGCCCATTTTGGCTCCATGCGTGGGACGAGTCCAGGTACAGCTATTTTACCATCCCCACCAAACCACCTGGACATCATCAAACATGGCATTTTTGAAGTTTGCGTGTGGCCGCTTATGACTCTGCCGGAGAAGATCGGCACAAAGATCAGAAATCAACTGCGATGGCAGTTTCTTTGTCGACCATGACCGAATTCCAGGGTCGGATGCGACTGCATAGTGCAGTTGCGGGCTTACCAGCGTTTGACCTTTTTCGATGCGGTATGATCTGGCCACCGCGCCTTATCAGGCGGAGTCGAAGCATTAGACCGTTATCTTCATCGGTCCAAGCACCTCTTAAACGTCCAGAATATTCCTCTGCTCGGCAGCAGGTTTTAGATCTTGCAGTTGCTAATGTAATTTGCAAGAACCCATTGTGTCTCTTGAATGTTTTCTCGACTGAAGTCCACATATGAGCCGGCTAATTAGAGTCGAATAATCAAAAAATGGCTAGTCGCTTCACAGGGCCAAGCAAGATACATTGCTATGTAGCTGCTCGAATTGTATGAAGAAGAGTAGACGCTGGTCGAAGATCAGCAAAAAGCTGCGGTCTACGAACCACAGGATATCAATTTGGCTGACTCCGAAGCTCAACACAAAGCCGGTAATGGCCTCTATTCCATATCGCCGTACTTGAGGGCAACAGAATCCCATCCCAATAGCTATTCTCGGGCAATATACTGCATCGGATCACATTCGGATTGTAGATCACTCAACTCGCAACACCATGGCCCCCGTGTCGTCGGACAAGATCGTCTTCACACACGGCAAAAAGGCCAAAGAGAAGGTCCGGAAATGCGGGGCAAGCGCGAAACGAAAGGCCGTGCAGCTAGGCGAGGGAGCCCACGTTTTCTCGGCCGTCGTCCATTTCAATCCGACTTACGGTCAATTAGATGGAGCTGTCCACGTCCCGGACGGCCAAAGCATTCCCGACGTGAATCGTTTTGTAGGTCTTGGCACAGAAGCCTTCTGCCGTTTGCATGAACGGCTTGAACTGACGTGCATCCGCATCAGCTGGCGGAACTATTCAAGGGGATGCACGGTATCGGACGCCGACGGCGGGTCACACGCCGTCGACGGAAGAGATCAACGTCCGAACCTGGTCAAAGTTCGGTGGAGATCGGCGACGCAATCGAAGTGGAGGTGGTCGGAAGTAGCGTGCGGGGAACGCCCGATGGCGTGGGAGACGAAGACACGACGGCGGAGGAAGTCACAAGTGGGGAAGCGGATGCCCCACACGAAGTCGAAGCCGATGACGGCGGCGCCGCTGTTTTTGGCGGCACCGTGTCGGGCGTCCAGCAAGACGAGGCTGATGTGGGCGAACCCCCCAGCAACCCAGTAGAACATGAACAACGGACGGATTTAGCACCACTCAACCAAGATGGCGAGGGCATGATGGGGGATTTTTCCATGAGCGACGCTGACACAGCGAGTGCGACCGGTGCGGCTCAAGAAGGGTCCTTTTCCGGGCTGCCTGAGATTGACTTGCGCGACATCTTCGAGATGGAAGCTTGTGCGTCTACGTTTGTGTCAGCTGGTGACAGTGAGCTGGGTACACCGGAAGGACAGTCCAGCGATACCAATCCTGGTCAGGAAAGGTCGGAGGTGGAGACATCGGGCGAAACGCTGAAGGAGGGTACGGCGGCAGTCGAAGGGGCAGCCTTAAGCCATCAGCCGAAAATTCCACAGGCGCGAACAATTGCTGCCGCACGTGCCTATCGACCTGACAGGAGTTCACTCAAGATCCACCGGTTCTTTTGTCGGGTTTCTCAGCGGATCCGGCTTGCAAGATATGGAGGGGAACTGAACACGGAACATGTCTGATAGATAAGGCGAGGTGTCAAAACTATTTAAGGAGATTCTGGCGCAACGGCGTCATGCAGAGATTAGAACGTGGGCCGCTATTTACGTAAAGTAGTTATGCGATTCTCAGTCCACTGAGACTCATAGCATGACTCTTTGCAATTTTTGCCTTGGCTTTAACCCCATCAATACCGTGTTGTGTAGTGGCACTATGTGCACCTAGCAGGCCTGGTCTTTGCTCAAATTCCATATGCAGTCGATTCGAATCCGGCCACGGTCCAACGTACATGGCGGGGTGTGCGTACCATATGACCGAGTGCAGCTCTTTCCCTACTTTTCGGCCTAACTGGAAGGAAGGAGCGTACCTGCCTGCGCTTAAATAGGCAGGCGGTGATACGTGCACCTATCGTCAACTGAGTGCGCACGACAGCTAGCCCTATCCAGCTAGTATCCATTAAGAAACTACCACCCCAGTCGGGCGTACTCTGAGCCCCTCCGAGTCAACCACTTGAGCCAATCAGTGATCAGTGACCGGCTTATGAATCAGCAGCTACGTACCGCTATTACCTTCCGCTGCCAGGTGCTTGGCGTAACGGCAGTGCACAGACCATTTCTATTCGACATTCTACCTTTCTCGTACTATCTGGATTCTGTGCAAAGTTGTATGTAGTGCAGATAGGCCGAGATTAGTCAGTGTGGACGCCCAATGCTCCAGCGGAACCGGTGTTAGATAGTAAATCAATCAATCGATCATGCATTATGTTAACCCAACACTCATAGAGTTATCGTATACATGGAATAATCAACTCAGAGTGATGATAGTGGTGATGATAAAAGAAAACAAGGTCGGCGAATTCTTGCTGGAATCCGACATCGGAACGTTCGGAGATATAGGTATTATATGCATACCCTGGACATGCAATCCTTATGCATGACATCTCCATATAGGGATAGGCTTATCTGACACCTCCATACGGCTGCCTCCATAACGACTGCTGACTTTCGAGACCAGAAAGAACTCATTGCTGCGGGAGTGACATCGTAACTCCTATGCATTGGAAATCGATTCCCCGGAATTACCATTTCAGACGTGGGCGTCGGCCTTGATCGGAGTGCCCTATCAATCTAGCGAATGAAGTATGTTTCGTCCCCATAATCGATCGCTCTTGCTCGCACCCGCTGTACTAATAACACAATTCCTGACTTAACCCGGTCTTTCGCGAAGCTCTGTTGCCGCCGACGACGTATTCCGACAGCATCTTCCCTGCACGCTTTGATTCTATGGGCGAGTGGCCGTTGCTGATCAAGAAGATGTGTCTCTTGCGGTCAGTGAAGGCACACGGGCGGGTGCTGTTCAACACTGTTGAAATGATCCGATCGGTTCTTAAGCCAGAACCTGCTTCACACACTGACGACTGACAAGATGTTGGCCCAAGATTTTCAAAACACCCTCATTTTTGTGGTGATAGGCACAGGAACATCAGTAGATCCAGGAAGCCGACTTGGGACCATGTGTTAGATGGCCCACAGAGGTAAGGACCAATCTTGCCCATCGCGCAGGGTTTCCAAATACAACTGTAAAGTGCCGATACGAAGACAGCTGGTTTGCATCTTCCTCTGTTGCCTGATGCAATGCCTTACATGGTTCCCTCTTCAGCGATGGTCGCATAAGGAGGTTGAAAATGCTCTGAATTCAGCGAGGTAGGTGTGCTGCTGTGGTAGTCATACTACAGTAATGATGCCATCAAGGAATGGAGGCCTGCCCCACATGGACAGCCAAAGTTAGCTCCGCCTTCCATTACTTGCTGCGGCCCGTAGACTGTCACATCTCTTTTGCAACGCCTTGCGAGATTTCTTGTGCAAGACCGACCGTGTCTGCAAAGCGTCCTCCAGCCGCATCCTTGCCATTGTCCGCCAAGTGTCCGGCTTCCCATCGTTTGATGAACGCATCCATTATCGACTGCGGGTCTTTGCCTTCTCGACATTCTTGGTACAGTCGTAATGCACACATTCCATCGGCATCTTTCGACTTCGAGTCGATGCTGCCCAGCGATGCACGGACAGTATCGAGAACGCAAGTCCGGATACTATCTGTGTTCGGAGTATTTAGCTCTTCTTCAAGGACTTCTGACAAGGGCCGCCGCTGCTCCCGATCGGTGATGATACTGCAGCTGTAGTTGTTCTCGGAGATACGTTGAAACAGAGGTAACTTATGCCTTCGTTTTGCTATAGCGATGCCCTTGAAACTTGGCAGTACCCAGTCGTCCACCGCTGTCTTCCAGTCTTTCAAGTTATGCGGTCGTTTGTTCCACCATAGCAGTTCGCTAATCCGTTGGTCGTTGAACCAGGACTCCAACGGCTCAGGCAGCGTTGGCTTGTGCTTACCGAACTTTTCGATTCGGACATATTCACACAAGTATGCAAACATTGTGATCGACGGCAGCTCCAGTACCGCTCGATAGACGACGACCGAGTAGCCTTCCGCAAGCTGTGCAATCTTGCCAATCGATAAGATGTCCGCCGACTGAGCCCACACGCGAAGCGTCGAGGTAGTCTCGATGATGACGTGCGAGTCTTCTTCAAGGAGACCACGATGTCGCTGGCACAAATCCAGGGTTTCTTCAAGCTCCTGCTTCACAAACCCCCGCAACCGATTGACCTTTGTCTCAGTTGCTGCATTGGAAGAGGCATGAATTATATTTTTCCAGACAAGACAACGAAGTTTATCCGCTCTTTTCTGCGACGTCATCAACTGGTAAATCGCGACAGGCAAGTACGAAGACGGCAAGCCTGACGCGCGGCAAGATCTGAAGGCGGTTAGGTAAAAGTCGACGCTAGATTGAGGTAATTTGCCCACGGCTGACTCACCTGATCAAGCATTTCCCGTTGATCTTGTGATCTTCCAAGTCCCAGGAATATTGGTCCTGTGACTTAAACCACGAAGGGTCAAGCAACTCCGCTGCGTTGAGAATGGCCTGCAGCTCTGTCGCGTGCACGTCGGATACTGTTCATGTTAGTCAAGTGCCCTCCGTGGCGAAGGGCTTCACTTACTGATCGACGCCGTGGACAGTCGGGATTTTCCTTTAATAGCATTTTGCCAGTTCTCGCCGGCCCGAAGAATGAAAGTTTGCACGACGTCTTGAAACATGAGGCGATCCATATCCTCGAGAGATGTATCATCGAATTCGGTCGTCGGCGTCTGCTCTTCCCGTCTTTGGGTCATACACTTGGTCGCTTCGAGGGACTCATCGCCCTGGGGTTCATCGTCACCCATGAGTCCTTGTGTTCGCAGTACACCGTATCGATTGTGTCCAGATTTCGTCTTCGTCGGCGGTGGCGGCAAATGGGACACGGCGTCGATTAAGTGATCTAGACATCGCTTGAAGTACTCGTGACGGATGTACGTTTGCGTTTTCGAAGCTGCTGCATAGAATTTGGCAATTCTCCCGCGTAATTTGAGTGACGTTCGAAGATTTTTGATTACAGCGGTCGCTACCGACTGCTTCAGGAACGGTGGTAGATGAGCGTAGAAAGTTTTGACTGGCCAACTAGTGTAGGGCTGACCCCTGAATAACTCACCAAAGGCCTCTCTCTCCGCGCGTTTGTATTTCTCATAAATCGAAGCCTTGGACGACATGCCGACTGCAGAAAGTGAGGTGGGCAAAGGATATGGTAGATAGGATCATCAGGCAAGACCGCCACGTCAAAGATTTTCCATCTGGGCGCTGGATGAGGCTATATATGCATCTGCTTCGGCACTGTTGTGCAGTAGTCGACAACAGGGTTGCTCAAACACATTTCAAGGGCGGGGCACTACTTACTTTTGTGCAGTAAGTACTTAGCCGGGGCGTAATGAACCATGCATGCATGTTTTCCCCTGTGTCCACAGGCACTGAGGTGCCCACCTAGTCCTCTACCTGCAGGGTGATACGCGCTTTGGGTTAGCCAATACCCGCGCGAGGCATTCCACCGACGCAGTACACCTCCAGTCGCCGGATGTACCACTGAGCGATACTGCTGCCCGCACAGAAGGAGGCGATGGTTCACGACGGGTTGCCGTCTCCAGGTCAACCGCATGCTGTGTCGGATTGACGATTCGAGCGGGACATATGTGTACTTGAGAATCTGTTTCCATTTCTGGAGACTTCAGAAAGAGAGACGTGGCCGGCAACACCTACCAAGAAGGCGGTGAAGAAGGCGGGGCCGTAGTTCTGTTGCATCGGGGCAGCGAATCCTTGTAGACCTACACGAGGAGGGGGGTCCTGGAAACCTACGTGACTCAGGAACGCGGCTGTCAAATCCACTACCGTCGCCTCTTCGATACAACATGGTGGCGATGGCGGATGCTTGGTCGTGTAGCGCAACGACTGGGAGAACGCGGCTACAGACCGCATCTGATAAAGCAGTCTCGATCCGCAACTGTCGACACGATTCGGGCTCGGACCAGATTCTACGGACTTTCCGCCGTCAAATGCCAGACTATCGCGCCAGATCCTTGTCGACCCTGATCGGCCAATACATACGGTGGCAGAGCGCACCATGCCGAGGCGCTGGAAACGGCGCCCAGTGTACCGTGCCGTCAGGCAACGGGTTTCTCACTCAGCCTAGCGGCCTGCCTCGCAGAGAGTGTTGGTGTGTCACCAAGTGAGATGTGCACGGGGCACGGAGGGGTACCTGGAGGCCGGATGCGGCTAAGCCTGTTCCCCGTCGTGGCCAGTACGCCTGCAAAGGCGGCTGGTCAGCACGGTGTGGGTCATCCCATCTGAGTCGACCATGGTCCATGTGGTTCCGCAGTTATCAGTCCTGCTTGGCGGCGTCAAGCCCCCCCCCCGGCTCATTGGTTCACACTCGCAGCATACTATAGCACTCATACGCTATGTATACAGCACATACGAAACCGATCTGCTCACCCCCAGGGGCATATTGGGTCCCGGTCGGCTCACACGAGAGGCTCCGAGCTGCAAGCCTCGAAGACCGCTGTCTGGTCCTGGGGTTGATTAGCGACGTCCCGATAGACCCTTGCTGCTGAAAGTACATACGCAGAGTCCGCAGGACAGTACATACGTCGACCGAAGCAGACCAAAAGTATCTCTGCCTGTTCTCTCTGGCGCTAATGGAGCACCGCCCACACCAGACCTCGACCTCGCCTTCGGCACCGCGAATGGAACGTTTTTTTCCAGCAAACGTGGCAGTGTCCGGAGCGCCGCCTTGCTGCGTTGCCCACCGCAGTGCAGCTACCTGAGTGAGGGGTCCAGTGTTCAAGCCAGCCTCGTGTCCGCCGTTGGGTGCTGTGCATGTCGTTCGTGCCACACCCCAAGCTGCCTTACGCTACTTGTAGACTCAGCAGGTTTTCGACAACGTGTCTGAATACGGAAGATTTGATGGTGGACGTACCGATACCCAGCAAAGATTGTCAGCGCGCTCGCGCAAGAGCGATGCCAATCCGAAAAGAGTTGCCGTTTCCCACGCAGACTCGCGGAGGTTAGCAGGCTGTGGAGGGTCGGGTCCCTTCGGAAACAAGGTGTCCGACTGCCAGCTTTGCCTGGGCAATAACGATGAACAAACACCATGGGCGATCTTGGGCGGTCGCATTCAAGTCCCCGTGGCGTGTAGTAGTGCGACGCTTGTAGTCCCGTTTGTGCCGCCGCGTACTCCTACGCGGGGCTGCTAAACCCTGCCTCCCAACGCGGGCGCCGCGCGCCACAGCGCTATGGGCCCTGCAAGAACCGGACATGCTGCCGTCAGTAGCCTCATGGCGTTTGGGCCAGCCACTTGCCCCGTGCTGCCGTGCATTGTGGGGGTCTCTTGTGATCTTTATGCGCAGCCATTCCTGATCTGGCCGGACGCACCGTCAAGATTGAGCGAGTAGGCTTCTGTCGTGGTGTTGGCCCCCGAGTAACCCTGCTTCGCACGCCAGAAATGACTCGACACCTGTTCGAAAAATCGACGTTGTCTGATGCCTTTTGTTAGATATGTACACCTTACATCTCTTCGCTCGGCCCCCTCCAGGCCAGTGGTGGGTCCGCGGCGTTGTCTTTCCCTACGACAGCGCGCCCGACAGCAACTTCTGGCTCTCACTTTCGCTTGCCTTGACGGCGACTTCGTCCACAATCGGCGTGGTCTCCCTCTTCTGGGGACGGGCGGCGGAGCCCGAGACGGCTATGCTAGTACTGTTCACCAACACACGACCCTTGCACACGAGCCGGGACAGATCACCTGTCATTTTGCCAGACCTGACGGGTACTGTAGCCTCTGTTGAATTAAAGCCCATGGCTGCAGGTCGGCTTTTGCGCAGAGGCGGCGAGGGCCAGTTGCAAGAAATCCCACTGACCCACCATTCGGCGCCGATGTTCTATTTGACTCGCCATTTCTAAAGAGGCTTTCAACGTAGTTCGCGGACGAGCGGACGATGCTCAATACGACACGTGGGAAAAGATCCTGCGGTGTCTCAATGGCCGGATATGATGTTCAGCTGCATCCAATACCTGATCAAAGCGGTTAACCCTCTGATTAGAGTCAGTGCCATTATTCTTGCCCCGCTGATTCTGGCTCTTATGTGTACGTTTCCGATATTCGTCAGTGCCAGCTCAACATTACAGAGGCTGTGGAGAGTTGGGTTTATGTTGCAGCACGAATGCATTCTACTGTATGCTTAATCATCATTTTGATGAGATTCGAGAAGACTATCGCAACTTTGCGATGTCGCCCGCCCGGCCCAGGTCGGTACTCACTGGTTCGGATTTGACTGGGAGGATATGCAGAACTCAACTATTGGTTCCGAGAGATGCGTGTCCCGTGCGAGCAATCTTGCCTACGTAGCGCGCCTATGTAGCGATGAGTACATGACTTGAGCATCCAGATCCTCCAGACCTTGACCCCAAACCAGACACCAGTACTCACCCCATCGCTGCAAATCATACTTGATCCTCGATCCCGGCCTTCATCGTTTCTCTTTCTTTCTATTTTGTGATATTTTTCACCTTCGCATGAGGCGACAGGGAACTAATTCAGCATCACGAGTTATGGAATCGACATCCAACCACACAATCGATATTCTTGTGGTGGGCAGCGGCGCCGCTGCCCTGGCAGCCGCTGCGACAGCCAAGCAACTTGGCCTCCGCACATTGGTCATAGAGCAAAGTAACAAGATTGGAGGCACAACAGCGTATTCTGGAGGCACCATATGGATTCCTCAAAATTCGGTCTCCGAAGCAGCCGGCTTCAACGACTCCCGCGACGCTGCGCGTCAATATCTGCAAGATTCGCTTGCGCTTAGCGGAGGCCCCGGGCCGGAATCCACCGCCGCGCGGATCGACGCCTTCCTGGCAGGCGGACCCGCGATGGTTAATTTCTTCCGCGGTCTAGGCCTCCGGTGGAGACATTCTCCAATCCCCGACTACCGCCCAGAGATTCTAGGTGCCTTGGACGCAGGCGGGCGGACGCTAGACCCCTGTCCCTTCGACGCCGGAACGTTGGGACGCTGGGCTGATCGCCTGCGTCAGCCTGCACACTCCGCACCGGTGGCTTACTTTCACGACTTCGTCACTCTGACCAAGCCTTACGCGTCCGCCATCGACTTTCTCACGGTTTGTTGGATGAAGCTGCAGGCGTTTTTCCGGGGCAAAACCATGACCAGGCCGACCTACATGGGCAGTTCACTCGTCGCACAGCTCTTAGACATCTGCCTTCGCAAGGGGGGTACCGCCATCCAGATTGAGGTGAACACCAAGTTTAAAGACCTACTCGTCGAAGGAGGAGCCGTCTATGGTGCCGTTGTAGAGTCGAAAGATTCCGGGGTGTTCAAGGTCTATGCACCATACGGGTTCCTCCTGGCAGCCGGTGGTTTCTCTCGACGTGAAGATCTGCGGCGGGAACACCTGCCCCTCATCGGAACCGAGTGGACGCTGACACAACCTGAAGGTGACACGGGAGATGCTCTGGAAGCAGCGTGCGAGGTCGGCGCGGCCACGTCGCTCATGGGCGAAGCGTGGTGGATTCCCACAATTATTGATCCTGGAAGCGGGAGGCTCACGACCGCTTTATTTGAGCTGTGCAAGCCCCACTGCATTGTTGTCGACCGGCAAGGGTCAAGGATCTTCTCCGAGGCCGACCCGTACGGCGACGTTGGCCGTGCGCTCTATTATCGGTCTCGGGGCAATGACAACAATGCCTGGCTGATACTTGATGGGAACTACCGGAGTCGGTACACTCTGGGGTCGCTTGGCCCCAGGGTCGAGCCGGTTGACGGCCTAGCTCGCGGCTACATCTTCAGGGCAGACGACTTGGCCGGTCTTGCAGCTCAAATCGGCGTCGAAGTCAAAGGTCTCTTGGGTACGGTTGAGACGTGGAATCAGGCGTGCGACGGCGGGGTCGACGGGCAATTCGGCAAAGGTCGCAGCAAGTACCACCTCTTCATTGGGGATAGAAGCGCAAAGCGACCAAATATGGGAACTCTCGATCAACCTCCATATTATGCCATACAGGTGTTTCCGGGGGACGCGGGCACCAAGGGCGGCCTGCTGACGGACGAATATGGGCGCGTGGTAGATACACGTGGCAATGCTATTGACGGTTTATACGCGGCCGGCAACTCATCGGCGTCGGTCATGGGTGCTGCGTCATTGGGAGCCGGGGTTACTCTCGGCCCAGCTATGACATTCGCTCATCTTGCGGTACTTCATATGTCCGACAGGCGGAAGTCCAGGGGCGAGCGAGGCTTTCCCTTGCCCGGTCAGGAAGATAGCGATATAGATGCATAGTGTATCGCAGTGTGCTGGTTGGTCGGCTAGATTCTAACAACCCGTATCAAAAGATACCAGTTTCCCAAGTTGAAAGATTTACTCTTGATTGCCACGTTTTCATACTCGTACCCGAAGTGACCAAAAAGAGCCATCACCTGCCTCGCATCAGTCATCCGCTGTGTTAGATTGCTCCAAATACGGAAATACTTGATATCCTGTATGCATGGGTCTGGACCGCTAGTACATTGCAAGCAAGTCTCAGGCAAGGCGGCACAAATACCCATGTCGCGAAGTCATGGACAGAATGCCGGGTTCTTCGGCACACGGTGCCTAAGTTATTGCTTAGATCCGTTTGCGAAATATCGAGGTTACTTCCGAATCGGCATCTGGGCATTACAAGCGTTCACTAAAACTTGATGAACCACACCTGTAAAAGTACATCTCCTGTTGTCTTCCTATCGCCTCAAATCTTGGTCACAGCCAGATGTTCAT